TAGCAACTATTAATGATGAATATTGCATGCCGCAAAGTGAGGAAACAGAAATTTTACTGTGGAGATAGAAAGCGTCGTTGAGAATCCCATATTAGATGAGATATGATCTAAAAGTTAGTTTATAAGTGAGATTCTTTCCTCACCATATAAACCCATTTTTGTGGAGGTTGAGTTAAATCCAATCCAAATTCTAAGATGGTATCATAGTTTACCTGTGATCCGCGGGCCACCTGCTATAGGGTCATTCGGGTCACACACTAGATGTCCACTCCTAGATGTGTGGATGGTGTGTTGAAAGTTCTACATTACATTGGATGAGATATGGCATGAAAACTAGTTTATTATAAGTGAGATTTGAGCCTGAAAAAACAGCAGAATTCGGCAAGATTTTACCAAAATTCAAAGGTAGGGTCAACTAATTTATCCAAGAGTTTATAATAATGTCAGCTTATTCTCGCAAAAGAATTGTGACTCTAATAGTTCCCTTTCAAAAAATGCATGTATTCCCAGTTTGGGTACATACATTAATTGTGAGAATGCAAAATAGGCAATCTTATGACTAGGAGTCTAACCCTTAGTTGCGAACTTGCGACCTCCTTGTCGTCAATTGGATGTCCTAAAATATGGAGATGAAATTTCGCATAAGAATTTCAGGTGTAAAAGGTTTGTCGAAAATTTTGGGAAAATGGATGATATCTCTTTCTGTTACTTTTTTGTTTGTCTGTAAGTTCTTCCCTAATTAATGTTGCTGGATGTGCAGCCTGTATTTTCTAAGTATCAGCTTACCAGAGGAGATAAGCTTGTAGATGGGAACAACCTCTTTTCTTTTCTTAGTTCACGAGCTTCGCAGTATCATCATGTCTTCAGATTCTATCGCCATTTGCTGCAAAATTCATTCTGCCGGAGTCTCACAAATTGTTCGATTACAATAACTTACAGCCATCTGTAAAATGGATGATAGCAGTTGATGTATCAATAGAGGGATACATTCCACCTATGTTTGTGGTTACCCCTAAAAATGTACAAAGTGAATTACAGAATATGAATATGCTGTCTTCAGTTTCTTAGCCCAACACTAATCTTGTATCTTGTACTATCATCAAATCAAGGTCAAACCTTGAATCGCACAGTTACTGATATCTGTTATGTTTATTTATTTCAGTCAAGAGGTGTAAGAAACAGTCATAAGCATTAAATATAGGTAACTACTTCCGGTGGTGGAGAAGTCAAACCTTGAAAAAATCAGTGTACCTTAAGCATTCTTCCTTTACTACTGGTATTCGATTGTTAGTCCATAACTATTTTCGATTTTTGATCGCATTCTCCGGTTGTTTGAATTTGAGTAAATGTCCAACATGATCCCTCATTTTTATAGGGTGTTTCAATTAAATTTAGTCCTTCACTTTTATAACATGTTAGTCCCTCACTTAGCACATGTAAGAGGAGAATATGAACCACCAGCATGTGTTTTTCTGCAGTACTGTTATGCTAAAGGAGCTACCGATCAAACTTCATTCTCTTCCACCTGATCAAACCTTCCTATCACTTTACTTCTCGACTCTTCCATGCAATCAAACCTTCTACAATAACTGCACCTATGCATTACCTATTGAGAATCTGAGCTGAATTTTGTTAAAACTTTCAAAAGAATTTTGTTGTCCATGTGATCCTATCTGATTCAAGTCTCTGCTATTGCGTGAGTTTGTTTATTAAATAAATTGTTTATATTTAAAAGCATAATAAACCAACAAAAAAACAAAAAATGCCAGATACATGAAGGGAAGATAGGTTCAAATGGCAGAAGAAGTAATGTGGAATAAAAGATTCACATGTGAACAGAAACAAAATCTATAGATCTACGTTATGTCTTTCTAAGTATTAATCATAAACAACAACCAACTTTTAAGAATTTTGTCCGAATCCATATAAAGTACAAACCGCCAAACAAGCTCCGTTTGTGCCTCTTGACAAAAATTGTACCTATGTGGTAGTAGCCTTTATGTTTTTTGTAAAACATTTTTCAAAAATCTTAACCTAATATTTTTATCAAACAAGTTAAGAGCTGAACCAATTTTTTAGTAAATTCGCAAAGTCTGATTTATTTCCACCATACTTCTTTCAGCTTAACTAAAGGTTTTGCATAACAATGTTAAATTTTTTGAAGGAGAGTTTCACCGTCTATTGCACATAAAAGATATTTGATTTCTAATGGAAAAAAACAATAGGTGCATTAATTATAGATCAATGGATTGTTTGCTTCTAAAAGAAGTAAGTATTTATTTTCATATTGGTGTATTTCTCTTGTTAGTGTTTAAACTTTTATAAGGATCCTGAATATGTGCCAGATTTTTGCACAAGGGTTGAGTATCCCTTTATGGTTTCTAATAGTCAATTTTACCCTTATATAATTTACATTGAATATACATGCATGTGGTTTCATGATCAGAGTTGATAAGGGAGACAAAATAGTCCCCCATGGACAGAAAATGGAAGCATAACGCATATTTCTCTAGGTTTTAATTTCTTGTTTCCCTCTATCTATCTCTTTGCAATAGTGCCACCAATTACTTGCTACTATTAATTATATCTTGCTCAAAAACTCTCAATAGTTATTTTTATTTAATAAAAATATATTTAATATTAAAATTTAAATTTATTGAATAATTAATGTATCTAATTTATATATAAATTATATAAAAAAATATTTAATAAATTTAAAAAAATAAATTTTTATTTATAATAATATCAAAAGGGTCTACTAAATGATTTATCAAAAAATGTCAAATATTTTAAACTTTTTTCTTAAATTTGCTATTTTGTTTAGAAAGTTGAGAAAAAAAATTGAAAAGAAAATGAGAAAGAAAAAGTGGTTAAGAAGAACAGTAGCAACAAGGTTGAATCAGATCTAGTGTTATAAGTGAAGGTGACAGATATTTAGATGGTGTGAATGAGGATATTATGACAGATTGACGTTACACTGTAATCCATATGATAACAAAAAAAGAATATCTCATTATTATTAGTTATCGTTTTCACCAACACTGTGTAATGTTAAATAGAGTACATAGATAGAAACCCTGGTAACAGTAATAGAAGAAGGTGACAGAAAAAGATGAAAAATGGAGTGTAGGAGACACACAACGTGGAGTCCCGTTTTTTTTGCTTGGGATTGATGATAGATAAAAAAATAGACTAGAGAGTGAGTGAGTCTATTTAATAATAATAATAATAATAATAATAATAATAATAATAATAATAATAATAATAATAATAATAATAATAATAATAATAATAATAATGTGTTTGTACTTACTTTGAAATGACATTTCAAACAAGTTATGATTTTATTTCTCTAGATTTTATAAACTTGGCATTAGTATTGAATGGATACCTTGTAATTTCGAGCCGTTAATTCGATATAATAATGATTTTGATAGTAGTTGATATGTCCATCATGGTGGACATAACAAAAGAGAAAGAGGTGAATCATAAAGCTGATGCTGAATCATGATGACAGACACTCTCAAAAGCCTTTGATCCAAGAAACTTGATAGCTTTAAATTTTATAATACTATTCATTTTTCACTTGTTATTGTAATTGTAACTTTGGTAACTTTTGAAACTAGTTTACCAAATTATTACTAGAGCTTTTAATTTAAAGTTTATCAATACACGTGAGTATAAGTACAATATCACTACCACTAGTGTACCTTAATTAATAGAAACATGATATTTTTCCTATGGTTTTTTTGTTACATCATATCATTCCACCCTACCTAGCTAGTATGGTTTAGAAGGGTAAGAAATTTTTTCTCTTTCCGTTTTTAACCATGAAAAGTTAATGAGATAGGTTAAAGGCTAGACCTACCATTGCATGAATCTCATAACATTGTTAAAGAAAAATGACATATTAGATTCTCTCATTCCCTTCTTTCTTTACTCTTTCTTCATAATATATATTTTTTAATAAAAGAGAGAAATATAAAGTAATCAAGGAGAGAGATTAAAAATAAAAAATGTGGTGTTCAATGAGATTTTTAATGAATATTAGAAAATTAAAAGTGTTCAAATTCTTAAAGGAAACACTTATTTAGCAAGCATCTTAATAAAACATTTACAACATAAATATCTAACTATAGTATTTATTTATTTTAATTATATTATTAAGGAAAAAATGACTAATCTCTATCACAAAATCTGTTATATCACTTTTAAAGAAATCTCTCTTTACCAACTACAATTTTTAATTCACAAAACTCAAATTTGAAATCTTAATTGCAATAGTAAGTAAGTAGAATTTATTAACTACTATAGGCAAATATGTAATGTTGATTAGATATACAATATTTCTATAAATATTAAAGATTAAATAAATTTTATTTTTTATATATATTTAGTATAACAACTTAATGAAATTAACTAAAAAAAATTAGTCATTGATATACCATAGTTAATTAACTCATATGTTTTTTTTCTAGATTTAACCTAAATCAACAACTTATTATATTTGTTAAGTCAAATAAATTCAATTAATAGTTTTACAAAAATCATAAACTACAAGGTGTGTGATTCAAACCTATGACCTTTTAGACCTTGTAGCCACCAGACTATCAATTTTGTTTTATAAAGTTACTCTCACACAAGTGTTAATTAATGAGGGGAGCACAAATGAATTATAAATTCACTATTCCATGATTAGTAGTATAAGTAAACTAATTAAAGGTTTACATTTTTATTTTATTTTTAAACAAAAGTTTGCATTTATGCCACCTAGAAGAAGTACTAGAGAGTTGAGTGAGAGAGAGAGAGCAAATCTAAATGTTGCCACAACATTATAAATGCAAAATTGCAAATAATACAAAGACAAAATGAAATTAATAAAAGAAGACAAAATGAAATTATAGTGATATAGTAGTCATAGTCAACAATATAATTAGTGCAAAAGATGTGAATCCTCTCCATCCACACCTGTCTTGTCTTTATACCAAAAAACATCAAAACTATGACTGAAAAGATTCATTTTCTTGCTCAATTTCAGAGCCATCTTGATCATCAATTCCATAAGCTTTATGTCCATTTCCAAATGCCTTTATATGATCTTTAAGTGATCTTTTGTGTTTAAAATCTGACCCACAACAACAATACCAAAGTTTCCCACAGTTTTTCTCATGAGTTCTCCAATCACCTCTCACTGCAAATGCTTTGCAACACTTTCTACACATGAAGGGTTTTATTCCATGCTTTCTCTTGTAATGTGTTTGAAGTGTTCTGAAATCTTTTAATGGCTTTGCTCTTGGATGATCAATGTTGTTCTTGCATCCGGATGCACAACAATAACATGGGAGTCTTAACATGGCTGTTGGTTGTGTTCCTCGAAGAGATTCTGGTCCTTTTCTATATTGTGATCCATGTCCCCACATATGCATCTGTATTTATTTGGAACCATCAAATATTAGTACCAAAAAATCGAATAACCGACAAAATCAAAGACAAAAATATAAATTTTGAATTCACGGTGAGATCGAATAAATTTTAACAAAATTACAATCTCATACAATTCAAATATATATACTGTTAAAGTCAGATGTCTCTGCACACTATCAATTAAACGGGTTTAACGAAACAAATATTAATAAATTTTATCATTACAATTTTTTTCATTATTGATTAGAATTTTTAGTAGTGAAATAGGGATATAGGGACGAATGAATGGAAGCAACACTCACTAACTTACACAAATAAATTTTTGGTACTATCCATCAGGTCCAAAACATGCAATGTATGAAAAGACATTTACCTAGTCTTATAGTATCATATTGCATGTAATATTCTTATCATGTCTAAGATGATACATAATCCTAGAGTCTTGTCCTTTTCAACGTGTTTCAATTATTTCTCAGTCCCTATATAGGATTAAAGAAAAAGGTGACAATATATGTAGGACACCCTAATATAAAGAAGTTATTCAAAGAACCCAACAACAGAATATTGTACAGCTATTTATGTTTTTTTTTTCTAATATGAAAATGAAACATTAAATTCATTCCATGCGTGATCTACTCATGTTTGAAAATTATCTCATTTATGCCTTCCCGTGATGATGTTAACATTAATATTTTTTATATAACAACACTAACATTAACATAGTTTTTTTTTTAATACTAAAACAACATTAACATTTTCATTGCATAGTATATACACAAATATTATTAAACCCTAAGTATCAATTTTCAGTTCTAGGTACACCCTGCATCAATTTCCTATTTAATACCAAAAAAAAAAGTTGAAAGGTTTAAAAAATATTAATTTTTGTTAGAAAAAATAAGAAAAACCCTAAATAAAATTTCATAAATTTTTAGACAATATGATTATACTTGAAAAATTAAAGTGATACTATACAAAAGAACATTAAACCACAGAATGTATAAAAATGAGCCTTATCTTTTTCAGAAAATTTTCTCAAAAGTAATTAAGATCTGGGAAAGTAAAGGGTATGAGAAAAAAGAGAAAAGAAAAAACATTCTTTTTCTTTCTTTAAATTTTTTCTATATATATCATTCATAGTGCCACCATATCTTGAATTCATGTCATAAATTCATAATAATATGTTTTCATAAAATAAATAAAAAATTATAGTAATTAATTATAATGTTTTAGGTATTATTTTACCTTGATTTTGAAGAGTATATATGAATTGAATTATTGAAAAGATTGAATTAAATATATATACCTGCATGTTGTTGTATCTGTTGAAGGTTTTGAAACAAAGAGGACATGAAAACTGTGTAGGACCAATAAGAATCTGAGCAGGGGTAGGGATCCAATACTGACCCCTATTAATTTTACTTGGTGGACACTCAGAAGCAAGAGTTACAACTTTTTCATCGTCATCTTCTTTCTCAGAAGCCAAATCAGATGAAGCTATACTTGGAAGCCCTAGATGTAAAGCAACAGTAACAGCATCATCAACATCATCTAGAGAATTTGATGATATACTTAGTTGTTCTTTCTCTTTCATGTTGATCATTTCCATGGAAGAAAAAGAAGATTCTAGAAGAAGATCTTCATGTTTTGTAGGGTTTAGGTTAAGTAAAGGAAGAGCTTCTCTTGGAGTGGGAGATGATTGAGATGAAGATGAGAAAGATATGTTGTCTTGATGGAAACTAGATGGAAAATTGTAGAATGGAGGGCTATTTAGGTCAAAATAATAACCATTCAAGTTGTTGGAGAAGTAGGGTTGAGAATTCATGATGATGAGAGGTGAGAAAGGAAAGATATATGATATGATATGATTATGGTGGAAAAGGGTTAGGTTATTATAGAGTAAGGAAAAAAAAAAGTGGAGAGAGAAAGGTAAATTTGAGAGATTTTTAAAAAATTATTATAATGGTGTAGAAATCCAATGTTGGTAAAGCTAACTTAATAAAGTAAAAAAAAAAAAGGGACAAGAAATCACTTGTGAAGTGTGACTTAACAATGGAGGGAAAAAAAACTTATGGGGAAAAGTCATTGAATTGATTTGGTCTAATAGAGAAGGAGATAGATGATGAGATTATCTTGGGACTTGAAAGAAGGTATGTATGAACAGTGTGGAAAAAAGGTAATTAAAAAAATGAATATGGTCACAATTGTGTACACCTACCCATTATGGTTGGAAATAAGAGAAAAACACAAAATCTTGTAATTGGAGTTGAAATTTTGAAGACTATATGTTCCCTTAAAACTATACTATCACATTCCCTTTCACACGAGGGGTTGAATTTCATAAACTACCTATGCTTCTAGCCTCATCAGTGTAGAGACAATGCATTTTAGGATTTTCTTTTATATATCTACTTTATGAATAATTTATTTAGGTTTTGTCTAAATCAAAATTTTACATGGTATCAAAAAAGTTATGGCAATTAAGGGTTACATTTGAGTTATATGTATGTGTTAAAGCATTGTTACTATGAACCAAATCAATCACTTGATAGTAAATTTGATGTGGTTATCTAAACCAATTAAAATGATTTATTTTTTTCTGATCAAAACTAAATCAGACCAATAAAACTGGTTGTTAGTGATTTGAAAGACTTGTCAGTTATATATTTTAATTTTTTTATACTATATTAATAATTTATCTTTAACAAAATATTTGATTCATGTTTTTTAGTCATTATGTACTCTCTCTTTTTCTTTATAATTATGCACTTATTTTAATATTATATAAAATTGATAATATTTTAAAAAGTTAATTGTTTTAAATTCTTTAAACTAATGTTTTTAAAATATCGTATGATTTAACTAAACTTGTTTTTCGTATGATTCGGATTATGTGTAAAAAGATTAAAAAAAAATCAAATAATAATAAATGTCTCCTTTGTTTCTAACTAAATCTTTTTGAGCAAGCAAACTTTCAGTTCTATCTTTCTAGCCCAAACACATAAACCTTCCATGATCTCCCATTCACATAAGAGGCTATGAATAGTGGTTGACACGATGCATTTTGATTTTTTTAACATCTTTCATTATTGTTGAAATTAAATCTCAATTTTAGAGTTAAATTAATTTTGATGAACAAGAATCAATCTTTCTGGTTGATTTTTTTTCTTGTTCTTCAGTCTTTACTCGACTGAATCAATTAGTTGCAAGATGATTCATGCTTAACAGAAATTTTGAGAAAAAATAAAATGAATTGGGAAAGAAAACGAGAAATTAGAATTTGAGAGAAAAGAGGAAGAAGAAGAATTCTTCTCTCTCTCTCTCTATTCAAAATTGAAAATATATTATTCAACTTTTCACCACTACTTTTTATAAGTGATATGGTACCTCCCTATTTATAGCTGAGATTGAGTACACCAAGCAATCTCTAACTAACTATCTAACCCAGTTAAAACATACAAACAAAAATGCTAAATTTTAATTTAGCTTTGACAGTTTTCTTCGGCACACAAGGATTTCGACAATAATAGACTCTGTCGAATTAATTGCTTTGACACAACGAATTACACTTTCAACACACCACTTAGTTCATTGTGTTTAAGCTATCTACATTCATCATAGTTCTCAATTTCTTGAACAGTTCGACCTGCACACACTTTGTCATGATATGTTTGCAATTTCATTCTTAGTTCTGCAGTGTTCCAAGTTCAGCTTCCCATTTTCTACTTACTCTCGAAGATAATGGAACCACATTTTGATGTGTTTGCTTTTTCCACGTGCTATCAAATTCTTCTCTAGATTGATAGCAGACATGATGTCGATCTTCATGGTAATAGCTCTAGGATTCTCCGCTATAATTTCTTCGACCAAATTCACCCTTCATGTTACTTGCATGCATAAAAAGAAGCAACTATCTATTCTACTTCACACGGCGACTGTGCTACTGTTGATTCTTTTCTTTAGCTCTAAGCAATTAGTGCACCACTTAGCATAAACACATTACTAACTGTTGATTTTCTATCCTCAACATCACTACACCAACTCGAGTCGGTGTAACCAACTAGTTTGCATTCTTTTCCTTCATCAGTTGTAGGAAACAAAATTCTATAGTCAAGAGTTCCTTTGAGATACCTTAGTATCCTCTTCTTAGCTGTGAGATGAGATACCTTTGGCTTCTACATGAATATACTCACCATACATACACTATATGCTAGATCAGGCCTAGTGTGACAAATATATCTTAATGATCCAATAAGTCTTCTGTATTATGTTAGGTCAACATCATCTTCATCTAAGTATTTTGACAGGTGCAGTCTTGGTTCAACAGCTGTTGAAGTTGCATCCCAATCTTCCATCTTAAATCTTTTGAGTATTTCACTTGCATATCATTTTTTGTGCATTATCAGGCCTCTAATACTCTTCTAGAATTATATACCAAGCAAGCATGAAATGTTGCCCAGATTCGATATTTCGAACTCCTTGCTAAGACCACCTTTGAAGTCTTCGATCTCTTTCTTGCAGCTACCTATTATAAACAAGTCATCAACATAAAGACATAATATAACCAACTCATTTATGCTTCTTCTAACGTATACTCCATGTTTAGTTGTGTACTTCATAAATTCCTTTACTCTTAGGAAACTATCTATCTTCTTATTCCAAGCTCATGGAGTTTATTTAAGTCCATACAAGGCTTTATGCAGCATGTATACCTTTCTTTTTTGGCCTTGGTTCACAAACCCAACTGGCTGTACAACAAAAAACTCTTCATCTAATGGGCCATTTAGAAATTTACATTTCATATCCATCTGACACATATACAAGTTGTTCATGTTTCCCAGACCAACAACTAACCTGATTGTTTTGATCGTAGCAACTAGTATAAACACTTTGTCAAAGTAGATTCTTAATTTCTTTCTGAAGAAATCCTTTCGCCACAAGTCTTGCCTTGTGTTGAGTTAATTCTCCTTTGGGATTCAACTTCACCTTGTATACCCACTTCACATCGATTTCCTTCTTGCCTTGTGCTAATTGGACTAGTGACCATGTGTTATTGACTTTGATGGACTTCTGTTCCTCATTCATCTCTTACATCTGTTGTACCCCAAAATTTGCCCTCCTATTTTCTTCAATACATCTTCTCATTCTCATAGGGTCTTTATTTGCTCAAGGTTACTCAAGAATTGATCAGACAAATTCTCCTCCTAAGTAATTGACCTACAACTAGGGTTTCACTTTTCTCAAGGAATATTTGGTTTCTAAGGCCTGAAGTGGATGTCATGGTTTCTTATATGTCTCCAAGAATGCTCATACTAAGTTTCATGCCTTGCATCACAAGTTTGCCCAATCAATTGCTCAGATGACTGAAAATTAACTATATTGGACAAAAAGTCAAATATGGTCAACATACAGTCAAACTTCAAGAGTTTTGATCAACATCAACATTTTGAAGTGATATTCATTATTTTATCAAGGTTTGATCATGATTCATCAAGAAAACTCTCAAATCATCAAAAGTTAAAAGTTGCCAAATTAGGATTTTCTTAAAGAGAAGTCAACTGAACTTTGACCAAGCACAACTTTCACATGCTTCATCAGATTTTTCTCAACCAAAGCTCATTGTGAAGGAAATTTAATCCTCTACAACTTTGTCTCTCTAAGATCAAGTCCAAAAATGCTTCATTTGAGAGATATGGGCCAAAACATTATATATCATTTCAAAAGTCAACAAAAAGAAACTTTTTGTCAAGGCAACTTACATCAAGATAAAGTCTTCAAATACAAAAATTATAAATATATATATATTATAGAGGATATCTTGAGCTTTCCAAAAAGTCCAAGATCACCTTCATATGATGAAAATTAAGAGAGTTATGATTGGTGCAAGTTAGAAAATTTCGAGTAAATGCATGAAACCAAAAGTGACCAAACTTGAAGTTTTGGGCTATTGGGCTTGTGTTTCAAGGTCCATGCGTGTTTTGCAACCTATTGTGAACCTCAAAACTCATTCATACACCCCTTGGGTTTTTATTTTATTTATTTTTTATTTTTATTTATTTAAAATTCAAAATAAATGAAATAAAGCAAGGCTTCTTACAAAAGTCCAAGCCCACAAACATTTGACCTAATTCATGCTTATATATTCTCATCAATTTAGACATCAAGCCACACGAACCCTTGTAGCAAGATACCTTTCCAAACTTCCAAAAATTTCCAAGAACTAGGGCAACTCGAAACCCTAGCTTGCAGCCACTTTCACAATAAACCAATCATTCCATTCAATTCCTAAAGCATTGTAAGGTAAGAATGGATCATTTGTGAAGGTCCAAAAGGGCTAAAGCCCTCGAACATGCTTTGTCGATTTCTCATATTGCATAATTTTTGCATTTTTTTATTGCGTTTTAATACCTACTAACCTTACTAATGTGTTTATGAGGTATCAACATGCAGGAAAAATCCATCGTATGAGCCCCAAGATGGCTGAACCATGAACTACCATATTCATACTGATCCATGCTATTTTTGTTATATCTCACAAACCAGTGTGATTCAGCCCAAAATAACACTTCCATTGAATTTGTAAGGCCTGATTTAGGGGGGTAGGGTACCCTTAGATCACTAAATATGTCTATTTTGCAGGAACGTGGAAAAGACTCACCGGAGCTAGGGCTCCGGCGCCTATTCGGTCCAGGAAATGATTTTATAATATAATTATTTGGTTTCATTAATATTACCAGATGTACAGCCACCCTAGTGGAAAGCGCATGCGTGATAAGGCGTGGGTTCGATCCATGGTTTTGGTATTTTATTTTTCATGTTCTTTTT